CCCCAAAACCCCAAAACCCCGATGTGAATATTCTTCTTTTATTATAAAACTTGTAAATAAAATATTTATTAAATCGAACATTAATGATAGATTTAAAAGTAGACATATCAGCTATTAGAGATGCGAAAAAACTAAAAAATGAAATGCTTTCCAGACTTAAGCAGATAGATTTTGACTAATCTGGATAAATATCACTAGATTCTTTTATAGCAATATCTGAAAAATATGGAATTAAATTAACTTCACATGATATCAAGGACATAAAAACTAATTTTAGGAAATAAAATTCAACCTCAAGCAAGATTGATTATATCAAAGTACTAAATGAGATAAAAATAAAGATAGATCACTTTGGCAACATCCAATGGGTTTATGGCTAGACCAATAATTAAGATTCATAAATTTATTGAGTAAAGATTGAGCAGATTAATAGCAATGAGCACAGCATTGGATCTAGATAATTTTCAGATGCTAACCTCTTGTAAGGAGATCTCAATACAAATAATAAAAGGACTTGAGCTGGAGGACTAGCGACTCTAGGTAGAGAAAATAAAAAATCTTAGCTTTCAACTTACGATGAGATAAATACACTCGACTTTATGCTGACTAAGCAAGATAGATCATAGTTGTTAGGTGAATCAGATAACTTAGGTTACAATATTAGTAGGAATAACATTCAGATAAAAAAATATGGTAGCCAGACTCCAATTAAGTTTCAAAAACCTATAAGCATTTTTCAAACTAATTAACTAACTCCTTCTTAAAACAACTTACCCTCAATCAACAGAGATAGAGATCAAAATATCTCTAGCCAATAAGACTAAATCATAAATAAAAACTAGAACTAGATGCCCCCAAGATTTATCATGGAAATCAAAAGATAATTTAAAGAATTCCAGCTTGATGTTAAAACCTTATTTGCACTTAAATGGGAATTTTCAAGAAGAGATATTTACACTTTTTCTTTTTCAAACGATAAGGAATTGAAGTTTTTCATTGAGAACCTGAATATTCACTTGCCTGAGGCTTTTATCAGTTTAATCTTTGAATGTGTTGTGCACCCAAAAACTGGAAAAATCAACTTTGTACTATTCAAATAGTTTATAGATATATGCTAAGACACTGTATTTAGAGACAATGAGAATAAAGTTCATGAAATCAAGAAAATATTATTTGGAGATTAGATAAAGATCAAAGATGAGAGTGACTTCAGCACTATCATAGATAAAGAAACTGATATCTTGCAGTAGTGTGGCAAAGAAATAGAGACTAAGTTAAATGAGAGATATGTCACTATAAGAAATGCTTTTAGAGCCTTTGATGTAAATAAAAATGGATTAATATCCGAGAGCGAATTTATTGAGGGATTAGTGCAATTGAATGCTAACTTAAATGAAAACTAAATTAGACAGGTCTTTGCAGAGCTAGATAAAGAAAAAAGAGGTTAAATATCATTTGAAAATTTTTGTGGATTGGTTTAGAAGCGCCCCCTAAAATTGGATTATTTAAAAAAGTTAGAAGGTGGAATTTTAGACTTGGATGATACAAAATCAATAATACAATAAATGAGTATGAGTGGATCCACTAGGTCAAGATCAGAGATGAGAAATGGTTTGAACAGCAGATAAGCTGGAATAGCAGTTAAGAATTAATCGAGGTAGACAGATGTAACATCAATTTATGATATAGCTGAACATCATTCACCTTCTTCAAAACTTAAACGAAAACTCAGGATAATAAAGAATTAGAATCAATCCATGATAAACAATTTATAGAAGCCATTAGAAAATTTATCAAGAAACTAAGCTCCCCAATTACAGTTATCTGAAAAAGTCTTTGGCAAGAAAACCCAAAGGTCTGAAGATATTGGCAAAGTCATTAACTTTGATTACCTGAATCAGGCGCTAAAGCAAAGACTTAGAGATTAATTCAAGTCTTTCAATGAAAATAGTACGAGTTAGCAGTAACCTGTGCTTTAATAAAACAACTCAAGAATTTTACCCCCTTCACTATTGCTTTGAATTATAAGATTATTATATATCTTTGAACAATTAATTATTTTAATTTAATAATCATGCTTATGATATATTTTGTAATTATAATCTTTTAATTCAATGGATCCCTCGGTAAAGTTTAAACCCATCAAAATAGTGGTTATTGGAGATGGTGGTGTTGGTAAGACCTCTCTTATCAAATGGTATGAATTCAATAACAAAATTTTTGCTTGCTAGTTATATTCATGATCAGTTCCCAGAAGAACATGTTCCAACAGTTCTAGATTGCTATAGAACAGAAGTTCACATCGACAATAAACCATTGACCCTATAAATTTGGTAATAAATCATATTATTAATATCAAATAGGGACTCAGCAGGATAAGATGATTATAGCAGACTAAGACCTTTAGGCTACGCAGATGCCGATGTCTTCTTATTGTGTTACTCTGTTGCTGATAGAGATTCTTACAAAAATGTAGATCAGAAGGTAATCTTAATAAGAATTCTTATGGACAATTATAGTGGATTCCAGAGCTAAGAAACTCAGCTCCATCAGTCCCAATTATTCTTGTTGGTACTAAGCTAGATATGAGAAACGAGAGCAATACATCAACAATAGTCTCAACAAGTGAAGGTGTCGCTACCTAGAATAAACATTCATTCTTTGCGCATGTTGAGTGTTCTGCAAAGAATCTGAATAACTACAAAACATCCTTTGATAAAGCAATTATTGCAGTCATGAAGCACAGAGATAAGAGCAGCCAAAAGATCAAGAAGAAGAAGAGATTATGTGAAATCTTCTGATAGCATGCTAACATATATTAATTTTAATCATGAATTGACTAAAATATTTATTGGCTAATACATTAATAGTTTAATAGTGTATTTTAATGATTACTTAAAGTGCTGAATTAAGGCAAAATATAAAAACTGTTCATATATAGATATGTAGTTAACCAAATAAATTGTCCTCATTTGTCTACCATTCTTCCCCTTTTATCTGTTTTAACTTAGCTATTAACATTTCTGCCCTTAACAGGAGATTTAGATGGAGAATCGAATTTAGACGCTGTTGATACCTTTTAACTCTGAATCATGTACTTTACTTGAGACTAGTTATCGTTACTCAATTTCTAATTCTCTTCAAATTCCCTTCTTAGTCTTTCATTGTTCTCTACCACAGCCATTCTAATAGCTGCCATCCATTTCTTACGCTCAGCATCACTCTTACATGAGAAAATGAATCTTCTCTCACTATTATACCATTCCTTCTGCCTGTTTGACCAAGTATAAACTAATAAAAATAAATCCTTCATATATTTTACTTTATTTGTCTCCGTGTACATTAACTTATGGTTCACCGAACTCTTTATCAATAATTTTCTGATCTTCAAGATAATGTTCCTTTTAGAGACCTTTGTTTTAATCTCTCACGGGCATCAAATGCCCTTAGATAATTCTTGTAACTTTAGAATTATCACCTCCTTTCATTACACTGGTGCTTGGAGATTCTGACTGTCTGTTTGGTGAAATATAAACCATTCTGGTAGGCACCATTTGTCCATTTATTTCATGCTGACTAGTGACAACCATTTACCCATTAGATCCATGGTTTTAAATAGTGTACCTATTTGGCGATCTACTCCTTCTACCCAAGCTATTTCTAGGGTCACTGCCTTCCCGAACTGATCTTCTTCCTGGACTACCTGATGTCCTTATCGGAGAATTAGTTTAAGAATTTCCAAGGCCAGTAACTTCAAACTCTCTGAAGAAAAATATGTCTTCATAATCTTGCTTCAGGACAATTTCAAATAAAAAACTGTAGGATTCTTTCTCTCTTCTTTTATAGTCTTAATTTGCTATAGCGAATGTCTAAACTGCTTCGATAGCATATAGAGGTATAGCTGATATAGGTCTGGTTAGATAACAAATAGAATGATAGTGATTTTTGTAGTATCTGAAAGATCTAGTTGATAACTATATCCATCTTGTAATGAAGTTTTTCTCAATGCCTGGTTTGAATTTAAGCATTTCACCTTCTAAAAGAATCTCTTCATCAGGGTCGATAATTACTTCATGTACATTATACTCTTCTTGAACAGGTGCCTTTTTAACTGGTTTCTTTTTTGGCTTTTTAACTATTTCCTAGATGACTGGGGGGGGTTCTGGTATCTCTCTCTTCATTGGAGTTATATCTGTAGTTGTTGAAACATCAGACTTATATCCTTTCTCTACACTCTAAATTCCTGCATCTCTTGTTTTGAGTCTCTTTTCGGGTTCTCTTCTGATTTCATTATGAGTCATTATGATCTCGTTAGCTAAACTCGGTGGTCTCAAGCATCTTTCACTAATGGCAATGTTATTGAGATAAAACGCTAATTTTTCTTCATCCTTTATAGTTCTTTCTCTTCTTGGTGAGAAGTTTGCATTTCTTGCATGTAAATTGTTAGTGACTTAAAGCTTCTGAGAGTAAATATAATCATCAGCAAACTTGAATTCACTCTCTTAAGTAGGCAAATACTCAAATGGAAATTTATCTCCTCTTATCTTCCTAATCCTTTTTTATTTTGGTGGGGATACTACAATAGGAGGCTACAATTTAGAATTAAATGAGTTTATTTATTAATACCTCTTCAATCTTAAGTTCTTATCTTTCTGGGGATTCAACTCTGCTAACTGCTTTGACACTTTATCTAACGGGTGAGCTATTATGACTTGGTCCCATTCCGCGAAGGAAATAAGTGCTCTTCTCCTCTGGACTCTCTAATCACCTTATTATTGCATTCAAAACTTACTCATCGACTTCATTTAAGCCATTGATTTATTGGACTTTTTGGTAGTATACTAAACCTTACTCTTTTCAGTCATAAATTCACCCTTTTAATAGAAGTTCAACTAAGATTGCTCCTCATAACTGCAATAGCTCTCACAAGCATTACCCATTATCAATCAATAAATTTTATTCTAAATAAAATCAAAACCTTATTTTACATTTGAAGCATCAATTTTATTTCAAATTTCTGATAATCATATACTGTGGGGTTTTGGGGTTTTGGGGTTTTGGGGTTTTGGTTAAATGGGGTTT